TTACAAGTGGTCAATAAAAAGCAGAAAGTGAGGGACATGTAGTGGTTTCAGGAATGGTTCCTTTGTTGGATTCACGTGTGCGTGTGCGTGCATTCCCAGTTGGGGATCCACATGCAGAATTTGGTGGTGGGGCGGGAGGGGGGGGATCTCTGAACTCCCTCCAGGTAAGAGGTGGGTAGGTTTTGAGATCTGATTTGACCACCTTCCTGTCGCCACCTTCACCTGTGTCTTCCTGGGAGTGGCCAGCGGGGCTCCATACCCTGTGGGCGGGCAGGTAATGCCGGGCGGGCCTGGGGGCTCCGTGTGCGCATGTGTGCGGACCCCTTTCTGGAGAGCGCTGCGGAGTTATTTGGGGGTGTTGGTGGGAACTTTGCTGTGCGGCGTGGAGTGGAAAAGTCTTGACGTTAAAACTGGAGAAGTTTTAATGAGGCTGGATGTATGCTAAACAACAGCCAGAGAGGCCCATTTACTGTAAATATTATGAATGGAGTTGGCTGGGCTGGAGTCCCCACCCTTCCTCTGAGGCCCCTGCAGCGGGCAGGGCTGGCCTCCTCCGAAGGCAGGCAGCCGGGTACACGCTATAATTTGCATGGCTGACGGCTGGCGCACAGGAAGCCGCGTCAGCCGGGCTGGCGAGACAGACGGGAGCTTTTTGATTTCTGTGGCTTCCCTCCCCTGCCCGGCTCTCCCCTCAGCTATATTCTCCGATGGCCAAACACTGTTCTTAGGAAGGACCCCTGGGCTGGGGGGGGCCTCAGACTTGGACGTTTGAGGGGCCTTGGGAGGTGGGGGTGGGGACCATTGGGGAGCAGGGAAGTACATTTTAGCTCTAGTAACTGATTACTCATCACAATCTGTCTGGAAGGCACAGTCACACATAAGTCTTCTAGACCAGCAGGACCTGCCGATCAGTCAGCTCAGCTCAAAGAGTTTGCAGGAGGAGGGTGATGGTGGGAAACTTCAGGGCATCAGGCCCGGCACGGGGAGGGGGGGCGGGTGCGCACGTTGGAAGGAGGATGGTGAGGAAGGAGACCCTTTTCCTGAGGGTCATGAGTGACATGACAGAGTGTGTGACTCCCTGAGGTTGAAATGTTGGTTTAGAGGTGAGCACAGCAAAATCTGACCCAGATCTCCTGGTCCTTTTGATTTTGTTTTTGGTTTATTGTTGCAAATTAAATGCAAAAAATGTGCGCTCTTCTCCCAAAGTGATTTTCTTACTGTCCGGAAGGTAGTAAAAATAAGTGGAGCCAGCGTGAGTACTTTGTGAATCATCGAGCGCAGCCAGAGACCGGCAGAGCCAGGAGTGGGCCCGTGGCGCTGTTTCGCCCCAACCCCCTTCATATTAGTTAGGGACCGGCCAGCCTGAAGCTCAGAGAGGGCAAGCCACTGGGCCAGGGTCACAGAGCAGCTTGCTTGGCAAAGCCGCTTCTTGGTGTGAGAAAGCTGGACCCCCACACTCAGCCCTAAAGTAGGCGTAGCATTTCCGGGGTGTGTTCTGAAGGGCATTGGCGGAGGAGCCCTTGGGGACTGGTAGCTTTCGGGGCCTGGAGTGGCTGCCCACCCACAGCTCACACCTAGCAGCGTCCTGGCCATGCATCCCAGCCCTGCTCTTTGGCAAATGACTGGGCCTCATGTCCCCTTTAGCATAAGGACAGTAGTCGTATGCAACCTCGGAGGGCTGTTTTGAGTCCCTTTGGAGCAGGGCCTGTACACAGTAGGTGCCTATTAGGTGTAGGGTGGGGCCCAGAACTGTTCTTCCACAGGGGTGGGGTGGGCAAAGGAGAAGGGTGGTTAGTGTTTTCCCAGCAGCTGGAGACCCCGAGAGATGAGACCCTAGAGTGTAGCTGCAGGCTGAGCCCTGGCTCCTGCTGCTTTTGTATCCGATCGCCATAACAGCCCTGTGAGGCTGGCACCGGGACGCTCGACGCTCTGTCGCTGCCAAGGTTCCGTGGGAGGTCGAAGTGGGGTGGGGTGGGGTGGGGTGGGGTGGGGTGGGGTGGGGTGTGCGTGGGGGTGTCGCACCATAGCCAGAAGTCCCTGAGGGGCAGGATTTGGGGAACTCGGTTGGTTGGGCCCAGGGAGCTGAGAAGTCCCCAGCCTTTGAAGGAGACCCTATGGCTCGTCCAGCTCCCTTCACGGAGAGAACCTTGTTACAGAAGTTCCGCTTTCTCAGCCCCACCGGCCAGAACCCACCCTCGGACCTTTTGGTGCAAGTGCGGGTCTGAGAGAGGCGGAGGCGCTTGGAGTTCGTTTCCACCCCGTGGGCAGCTTGCTCCAGACCCCAGAGCTGCCTGGGCTGCCTGGGGAATCGGAGTCCTGGCGTGATCTCGCGTGTCCTGACGAGGGTGGAACACGGCCGATCAGAGCTGACCCCAGAGCCCAAAAGGAACCCAGACACCGCATCCGGTTTTCATGTATTTACTTTAGTTCTTGGTCCTTTGCCTCTTGAAAACAAGAGCCCAGGAAGGGTCCTTGACCGTTGTGAGTCTTTGGGATGAGAGCGGCTCAGACGGATTGGCACCAGGCGCCCTTTATCTCGGCCCTTCTCCCTGAAGTGGGCCGGCTGCTCGGGGAACTGCCGTTTCCTGAGTTTCCTGACGGGGTGGGGAGCAGGGCCGAGGTGCTGTTAACCTTTGAGATGTCTGTAGGGGGAGGCAGGATGAGGCAACCGCTGGTGGCGCCGGCGTTCTGAGGAGAGAGGACCCTGGACCTGTCGTGGGCGAGGCGTGGTGATGTTTGCGTTCCAGGGCCGCTGGCCTTAACTTCTGGGTCTGCTTTATGCCCTTGATCTGCCCTCCTCAGCCTGGGTGAGGCCGCCATTTCTGCCCCACGCCCATCTCCCCTGGCTTCTCCATCCTCGGCCTCCTGCTGGGCTGGGACCCTGGGCAGGGGGGCTCACAGGCCATCCCACGGTTGGATTTTGGCAGAGAATTATCCCTTGACAATCCGGGTGCCTGCAGAGGTGAGCTGGAGTTGAGACCCCTCCTTGCTCACCTGGTACTCCAGCCCCCTTGCGCCCTGGCAGTGGGGGGCACTGGAGGCAGTGGGCACCGGCTGTGTGCCTCCTTCCTGCTTCTCAAGTGTGTGCCTGTCCTGGAAGGCCAGAATCTGGGGGACCCTCTCTCCATTAGCCTGAGGTGGCCTCCTTCTCACGCATGCCCATGCTCTCAACGGCATGGGGTAACCAGATCTCAAGGCCAGATTTTAGGTAAGGGAAGCGTTTTCTTGCTGGGCACTTTGGGAAGAGCCTTGCCTCCCTGGTCTCGTGGTGGACTTCATAGGCCGGAGTCCAGAAAGGGGGGCGCCTGAGGCACTGGACTTGTCTCTCCGTCCTTCCTCTGTTTTTCCCCTCATCTCTTTACTCCTTCAAATAAAAAATTTTAAAAGGGGAAA